GGCATCGTAGTCGGCATCATAAGTGAGTTTTGCCATTCGCCGCACCAAGCTACGAACTCGTCAAAGAGACGAGTAGCTTGGTGCGGCGAATGGCTAAACTCATTGATGATGCCGGCGAATGGCTAAACTCACTAACGAGGCCGGCGAAACGTCTGAGAATGTATCAAGTCCACGGTCGGATGCTAGGAATCAAGACAACTACTACGGCAGACGACTTCGCGATGCCGGCGAAACGTTTGAGAATGTATCAAGTCCACTGTCAGATGCTGGGAATCATGACAACTACTATAGCAGACGACGTCCACTGTCAGATGCTGGGAATCATGACAACTATTCGGCATGCCGGCGAAACGTTTGAGAATGTACCAAGTCCACTGTCTGATGCTGGGAATTATGACAACTACTATGGTAGTCGACGAAACGTTTGAGAATGTACCAAGTCCACTGTCTGATGCTGGGAATCATGACAACTACTATGGCAGACGAATGACGAGTTCGTAGCTTGGTGCGGCGAATGGCAAAACTCACTGATGATGCCGACTACGATGCCGGCGAACACATCTGAGAATGTATCAAGTCCACTGTCAGATGCTGGGAATCATGACAACTACTATGGCAGACGACTTCGGACTGGGTGTGTTCTACATGGTCTCCCTGAAAACAAGACCAAGTTGCGACAACAAGGTCAACCCACTTCTAGATTTATTAAAGATTTAATAAATACGTGAAGAATTTCATCTGAAGAAATAATTTAACTAATCTCAATCGGGCCTCCACCTCAAATTTCTTCAGTCATTCACACATTAAACAGAGCTAACTGATGTAGTTCAACTAAAAAGCTTCGGTTACACATAATAAAATAGTAAAACTGAAAGTGCGAATTCCTAGCGACGCAAGTAGTTTGAAGATTAAAAGTTAATGCATTGGGAGACAAGTTGCATATAAGATGAAAGAAAATAGATAGAAAGGTGATCGAATAAACATATATAGATCAGGTATCTAAAATCATTTCGTGTTAGGTGTGGATAAATGGACGATGAATTCACTTCTACGAAATGATGCAAAGGCTTAAGTAGCCTACAGTTCGCATTCATATAGACTCACTTTTCACGTTTATTATAATATATTTTTACCTAAGATAAGATATACTTAGTATTGAATTTAAATCTTAAATGATTTTACATACCTTGTCTGCATATGTTTATTCGATAACCTTTTATCTTATATGCAACTTGCCTCCCGAATCTTAATCTTAAAAGGAATTGCGTCGTCAATAATTCGCACTACCATTCAAACTTCCAGTTTTAGTATTGTATTATATGCAACCGAAGCTTTTTAGTGAATTACAATTGTTTACTTATTTATACTATGACCGTAATAAGGATGTTAGCCTTTTGTACTTTGCTAATCAGAATTGCTCGAAAATCATTTTTTATGACTAATTTTAACTCGCCAACAAACCCCGAAAATGACTCGATTTCAGATATCCATTGCGTCATGAATTCGCTCAGTATTGGTCTCTCTGTGCCCGGCCAGTTGTGGGAGCAAAGGATAGGAAGTACAATGTTAGGTGAGTAGTAGATACCAGCGACGACAACCTGATTGGTGAATATAGTAGGAAGATTATATATATTGAATGAGAAAAGGACCAAAGTATGTCAAGTTTGATATCTAAAAAATTCAGATGAAGAGCACGGGGATAGTCTATTCCTGGACCACTCACCCATGACGAAATAATACCATTCAAGCTTCAGGGAATACAAAATAATAATATATCAATAATTCTGTTAAAAAAACGATCCAAAAATGTGAGTTTAGAAAAAAAATATATAACATAAGATTATCTAGGCGACATGGCAGAATAAGAGTTAATACCAATTTCCCAGTAGGCATGAATATTTAGATAACAAGAAACATTATAAATTCATATCATTATACAAAATCCAGACCATCAACCAATAGCGAGACTTCTCACGATGTGTAGGTCTAAGTTTTCTTATTAATTCCAAAGGTGATTTATCATCCATGTTTCCAATTCCGCTGGAGAGCGATAAAGTTGGAGAATATTCGCTTTGAATAAGAAAATGCAAGTTGAGTACAATAAAATGGAAATGCATTAAAAAAAAGCAAACCTTTCAATTTGTCGAAGATGGCTCAACTGTCCGTCTTTACAAGATTAAGTTATAAGACATAATCAACTATAAAATAAGCAAAACTAAATTACCTGTAAGCACATGGTTTTGAGGTCCGGAGTGAGAGTAGGACGAGTTAGTCTACCTAAAGCAAGTTCAATAAGTTTGGGAACATAGCTATCAAGCTTTCCAGGATGACTAATAAGCGTAACTTCGAAAAGCTTCACGGCGTGTGACTGAGCATCCTCGCCAAGAGCGTCATCATTGAGTACCTTGGCAGAATGAAAAGAAAGTGAACGCAGTAAATGAAGTTAAGTTGTAATTTTTAAAAACGGTGCTCGCTTGGAACTATGATTTTGCAAAAATGAGAGAGTAATTGAATTTCGAAGCGGAGTATCTAGATAAGAACCCAGGTAAACGGTGAAATATCTATCCTAGAGTTATGTTTATCAGGCTTTTATCGAGTGAGAATAACATAAAGGTCTCAAGAAGAACAAAACGCTATAGCCAAACAAATGTGATAATTACTAAGATTAACTGGGATTCGATAAATCTTCTTAAATAACATTGTTGGAGACTTTCATTTCGTATAAAAGTAGATAAAAAAGTGATTCGAAGGTCGATCTCACCAGAAGGGGATGACTGAATCATTCCATCTCATTTCAAGTCACCGCCATGTGTTCGGCCACTTATGACCGTTGGAACAGCTTCCTTTACAAGCATTTTGTCTTCCCCCAATGTTTGTCGAATAGCTCGGCATGACTCACCAAGATCTACCATATGAGTAAGCAATCTTGTAGTAGCCGGATCTCGATAAAAGGTCATATTCCTCTCTAAAAGATGGCATAACAGAAGAGTGTGAGAGTTTTTTTAATTCTGTCTTTATTCCCTCCTTTCTGGTGGCCGGCTTCAAACCTACTTCCTTCTTATATTCCAATTTGGTCCACTTACGCATCTTATGATTTGGCTGGATGTCCTATGCTTTGCCTCTATATTTGCTCATAAGTTAAGTGACTACAGATGAAGGGTGCAATGGGTGCAATTGCAACCAAACACCTGCATCCTTATGCCTCTGATCCTGCAATGTTACCACATGTGGTTGTGTCATTGCACGTGTTGTGTGAGTATATTGCTCTTGAAATGAGTATGATGAGTCAAAACCAGATTCCAGCCTAATCAACCCTCCTCATCTTGATCGGTGGTACTTCCCGTTCCTGTCCTCTCTCCTAAACCTATCCAACAGCCACAAGTAGTTTCCGCTTAGCTTCCTACTAGCAAGAAGATAAGTAAAAAGTACTTGTGCTTAATCAAGAATAAAGAGGGTGCTGAGCCGCCTGCAAAAAAGAGGCGACTCAACAAGCCCTTTCTTGTCTTGGTTCTAATCATAATCACTTATCTGTACGTCTAGCTTACCTTTTCTCTATCACATGAAGACCAAAAACGGAAAGTACCACCGGTCAAAAGGAGGAAGCTTATTAGGCTGGAATCTGGTTTTGACTCTCACATCACACTCATTTTAAAAGCAATGCACTCACAACACGTGTGCAATGGGACGCAATCACATGCGGTAATATTGCAGGATCAAAGGCATAAGTGTTTTAGGGGAGAATGCAGCTGTTCCATTTCAATTGCATTCATTTCACGTTTTAATTGTAGCCAATTCACATGCCATCCGCAGTCACTTAACCTAACTTATGAGCAAATATAGAGACAAAGCATAGGACAGCCAACCGCATCATAAGATGCATAAGTGGAATATAAGAAGGAAGTAGGTATGAAGCCAGCTACCTTTCTTGCCTTCGTGTTTTTGATGAATTATCGTTAAGCATGGTGTCATGTTGTGACGATATCTATAACATGACGGACGAAAGCTCACCAAGGATTCATCGCGGTGCGCCGAGGACCTATTTGCACAAATCTACAACCACAGCTCCAAGGCAACCTGCTCCCCTCATCCGATGGAAGCAATTTACAAATCCCTTCCACTCTCCTCTTCAAACAAAATGAAAGGTACTCCAATATAATGAAAGAAAGTTCGAGGGTTTTTCTGAGCACTGTTTTTATCCTTCACTTTCCAACTAGTTCACCTATCTTTGTTGAAAGAAGACATGAAGGCCAAATTGAGATCTGAGAAAAGGTCTCCGCTCGTCTATCTTTAATTAAATAGTCTCCGTCTGTAAATTTATTCCTCAGTAAAGAGATATTATTCACAATTAAACCCAAAGGATAATTATTTTCTAGGAATAAATCTAGTCTCATACCCCTTAGAAGCATTGACTTCGAAATTCCAACCTTCGTTTTGTTACTATGGTTGGAAATAAAATTAAGAAAAGAGCTTTTATATTTTGACTCCAAATAAACATCTCTTCCTAACTTACCATCTTCTTTTATGATGAGAAGATCCAAAAGGGTAAGGGGTTATTCTCCTCCATTTCCATTGTAAACCTAATGTTCCTCCCATATTGGTTAAGTGGAAGTAGGAAAGTATCTCAACTTTGCTTACCATGAGGCCAGATGACAAAATAGTCATCCATATATCTAACCAACAATTTTGGGGTTAGTATTGCTACTTCCAGATGTCCCTCAACTTTTTCCATATAATTGTTCGCCAAGATGGGAGTTAAACAAGATCCCATCACAAGTGTTTCTTTATATAACTAACCATTAAAGATAAAATAGCTGTAACTGATGGATAGGCTAAGGAGTCTATGGGCGCCACAATCAGCCTTGTTCCTTGCGTGATATTAAGATGTTCCCCCAGAGTTTATACTAGAGCCGAATAGCTCCTTGAACAGGAATGTTTATATACAAAAGCACAACATCAAAACATATTAGCTTAGCTTCTTATGAAGTTATATGCTGATCAATTAATTTTACAAACTCGTAAAGATTTTTAACCGAATATAGCCAAAAATTGAGTTTTTCTTAGTGTATACAGTAAAAACGTGGGATTCTATGCATCATGTTTCCTTTATTATTTACAATCAATCTTAGAGACACCTTACTTGCAAACCTTAGGACTGTGGGGGCCCATGCCTATCTGGATTAGTGAATTCATTTTCCACTTCTCCATTTCACTATTACTAGCGCATATCTTAAGGGCCAGCTTTAGCCACGTTTTAAGTCTTTCGTTAGGATCTCTCATTAAAGGCATATACGTGTTAGTGTTATTTAAATGAATTAATATTTTTTTACATAATTTTATCTATCGATGAGTATCACTGCTTCACCTTTGTCAGTTTCATAACGAATCGATTATTACCAGATAAATATATATAACACATACGAGAAGCACA